GGTGGAACCGACCTTCGAATCTCTTCACCCAACACTTCTACTCGAAATGGAAGTAATCCCAACAATAGCCAAAGGAAGGCCAAGGAGTATCAACCGTCGTCTGCTGGTGAGATCGACCTGTGAATCTTTGCACCAAACACACTTTAGCATACTTTAGCAGGAATATAAAACGAAAGCTTTCTCGTATGAATTTTAATGAAAACGAAAGATAGAATGCCTGGATCTGGTGCGCTGATAAACGATGGAATAGAAGATGTTGGATAACAACGAAGGACGCAAAGTCAACTTAAAGCGGAATAAGAGACGCAAAATGTATAAAATATCGGTAATTGTATGCACAGTAATAGGGTGAATGAGTGAATAACGGAACTTAAGTCTAGAATAAGCACACTAGTTTGTAAAAAAAACTAAATAGGGAGGGATCGCAGTTTGGAGGAGGATGTGTCGGCGTATGGGGATTGGGAGCTCGGAGAATCCTACAGAAAGGAAGATTGGAGGTTGAGGGGACACAAAATGTGATAAAGCTTAGGCTATAATCATAGTTTGCTTACACGTGAATTAGGCTTTTGTTGATTCAAGCGGATGCTTCTTCATGCATTCTTTTTCGTATCGTTTCCTCAAGTTGGTCGAGGCCTCGGAGACCTTTGGAAGAACCTACCCCAAACTGCGTCCTCTGCTAATGTGCTTTTATACAACGGCCTGGTACATTCACAGACCGTAACCAAACCGAAGGCTACACCATCTTGCTTCTAATATCTTCTTCATGATTTGGCTAGGGGAGGTAAAAATTAGTTTACGAGATGGGAACCCTCCCTAGGCCGATTCGAAGTAGCACAAACCTAAAGTATGTTGGAATAAATTGGGATTTAAATAGAGATAGAGAAAACTGATGAGCTCTTCCAGTATCAGGGATGGATATAGTGTGAAGTGTACCAGCTCAGCTGGGCTGATTGGTCAAGGCGATTGACTTTATTGGTCACTTAAGCGAATTGTGACATGATGATGTTGATTGCCGAGGGAACATCAATGAATGAACCCAGGAAACGGTCGTCCGTAAACTCTTCCAAGTCTCAATTCAAACACGAATAGAATGTGAATGCAAGATCAAACGAACCACGAAGAGAGCATTATAAAGGATTCGCATCGCTGAGAAGTGTCGGCGCAGGAGGAATTGGGAGTTTGAAGAGTTCAACGGATATCATCAGCTATGTTTTAGAGTATGCCCGACTTTCCAAGGTTTGGGTTGAAGTCTAGCTTAACTTGCTTTGAAGACGGCATATTTTTGTCTTAATATGGCGGCAGCAATTCAGGGGTTCTTGGCAAGAAATTGCTTGCTGAGCGCATCTAGCCATAACACTTAGCTTTGCGCTACAGAGGATGAACTTGAGTGTCGTCGCCCAAACACATGCTGATGGGAAAATTTTCCCATATTCATAAGAACGGGCAACAAGCCATTGCTCATTAGACTGAGGGTCCAACCTAAGTATGAACTTGGTCGGCCTTGGTCACATAAGATGATTTAGCATTGCTTCCAAGAAGCTTTCTTATCTATTCGTCATTTCCACTGATGATACTACTTATATTCTATGTGAGTAGGTATCGACACTATCAGTAATTCTTGCGTGATACATTAGTCGCCATGGCTCGCTCAAATGAATATCCCGCCATCAATTATTGAATCGTACCAAGTGACCCAGAGTGGCTGAGTTTTTAATCACGAATTACGAATGACTTCGAAACACGCTCACACAGAATCTACCTAGTAGGAAGCAATTATGATAATGTAAGCGAGAAAAAAAGAACTAGGAATAAACATAGATCTCCATGGTGTCTGCAAATTGGACTAAATTGGAAAAAGAGAAGGAGGAAGCAAAAGTAAGAATGATCTGCATGTCCTCGCCGAGTCGCCTGGGTGGAAGGAGATTCACAAGGGGGATGGATATCGGAAACTGGGTAAGACGCAGGAGCAGAGGAACAGACGCCCCGAGGCCCAGAAATGGTTGTCTAACCGGCCTAATGTCATGGGCTTCGGTGTACAAACGAGAGTGAGTTAAATCAGGCGTGAAAGTTTTAGTCTAGCAGAAGAGTCCTGATAAGTGATAAGACCAGAATGAAACGATAAGAACAATTGCAGTCAAGCGGAAGTCTGACATGAAACCCGATATGCGCGCACACAAGCCTAAGGAAGCGTGGATCCAACCAACAGACCCAACAGAGCATGAACAGGAAGGAGGCCAGACCAGGCGCAAATTATGCGAGGTGAACATCTTAGGCATTCAGCCGGTTCCCATGACACGTGCACAGACACAAAGACATGTTGGCAACCGCAGGTGCGAAGGCGGGCTCCCAGTTCAACCTACCGTCTGGCTACGTCGAGGGCAGAAACTCGAGACGTGACTACCACGGCCGAAGTCATCAACAGCCTTGACAACGACACGACAACAGGAGAAGTGAACCGGCTCTAGGAGAGCTGGTATCTATGACTTCTCGAATATGAAAGCTCAGGCAGGCAGGTCTTGGGAGAGTGAAAGTTATATTTAGCTAGTGCCTCTTGTACAAACAGAAGGAGATCTGGGCCAACAGATCGGTACTATATGAGCGAAAAAAGTTGGGTTTTAAGGAATACCTTTGTTGTCAAATGTTAATCTCATTTCAATTTCGAACGAAGGGGTGTGTTGAAGGAGCTCTAAAATCGATTCCACCACATGACGGAGGCAGATTCTTTTTGGCTAGTTCCGAAACCAAGTTAATCTTCGTATTTGCTTTCACCCATCCTATCTCTTAATAATGTATAATTATTGGCACTGAATCTTAATGGATAATTATTCATAACTAATTTTTTTGTTTATAATCAAATTGTAAATACTGGCGATTTATGTCTGCTAGACGATAGCTTCTTACTACCAATGATTTCATAGCTCTTGCATTAACCTCATGAGTATGATTAGAGACGAATTAAGAACGATACTCGTATATATCAGTTTCCGATAAGCAAGACTACTCAACATGTGATCTTATTTAGTAACCAGGACATTTAAAAAAAGGTAATTTATTATCATTTTATAACTCAATTGTAAGTTCAGTCGTTATATCTAACCTAGCTATTTACCAAAGTTTGCCAGACTCTCTATGTCATGCTGGTTGATGGCAAAGTTTTCATGCATATGCTAAGAAAGCTGGGTTTCGAGGACTCTCTTGATTCATAATTATTCAGCTTACTTTCATTTCAAGTGAAAGTTCTTGAACAAGAGATTCGAAGCTCGATTTCACCAGAAGACCATGGCGGAGAATTCTTGTTGATGCTGTTTCCGAGGCGATCTCCTTCGATTCTGGTGAAAACGTGCCCGATTTTCGACCATCGTATGACGGACAACATTATAGTAAGATAATCCATATTCAAGATAGCCTCATCCCTAACTGCTGTATATATACTCTATATCTAAGCTATTTGATGGGGTATAAAGTGATTTGGTTAGTTCAAGTTGATGTCAACTTTGAATTAGGAGAGTGTGTATGTGCCTGCATGTGTATGCATATGTACGAAACTAGCAATGATGGCTCAAAAAAATTATAACGGTAAAAGTAGCGTATGTTCAGGGTTTGATGACCACCATCACCCACTATTTACGTATATTTTAACCATCACTTCATGTGAGAGAGAAAGAAAAGTGAGAGTGATTGGAAGCAAGACAAGAAATATCAGTAAATAGCCTTCTCTTTGCAGGCGGCTCAATGCCCTCTCAGTCTTGAGCCTAGTAATTGAGCACAAGAAGTTTTTACTAACCTTTTTGCCAATATTCCTTAAATTCAATGTATGCCTTATTTAGTGCATTCTCTATAAAAAGATAAGCGAACTAGTAAGGGAGTGACAAATAAAAATGGTCTTCAGAGAAACAAAGACAATTTCTTCAAGAATGCTCACTTTTTGTGAGAGAGTTGAACAATTATTCATATCAAGTTGTTATAAATAATGTGTTCATTTGGTCGCTTTGGTTGCCTGTAATCCTCACATTCAATGTATTCCTTATTAAATTTATTTTGATTGGCTTCTCTAGTTTTACGTTTAGCCACAGAGATACATTTATCAGCAAGCCGACAACTTTGAGACCAATTAACCTCCTATCCAGTCTCCGCCGTATGCTCAGCTGGCTCTGATTTTCGAACCCAACAGCCCCTGAACTCTCTTTTGTGCTCATGACCTTATGTCGAATGAGAAGACAATCTATCCAACATAAAAGCGACCGCATCAACACATTATTTTATAACAACTCAATATGAATAATTGTTCAACTTTCTCTCTAAAAGTGTCTTCGTTTCCATGAAAACCAGAGTTCATCGTATCCATGATAATTTCCTGCGTCAGACTGTGTACTTGGTACATTACCAGACACTTCGCTGGTATGGTAGTCGGCATCTTTGACGAGTTGTAGTGGGGTGCTAAGACTAGCAAGGCTCACTTACGATGCCGGCAAAACGTCTAGCAATGTACCAAGTTCACGTTCCGAATCTGGAAATTATCGCGGATACGATGAACTCAAGATAAGGTGCTCTCCTTTAGGTATCCCAGACAATAAGACCAAGTTGCGAAATTCATGTCAAATAACTTGTATGCAACTAAAGTAGAT